TGCGGTAGTTCTTGGGGGGGGGGGGGCTAGCATATATATATATGTGTGTGTGTGTGTGTATGTACACGCATATAGACATACGTGCATGATACATACATACGTTCGTACATTCGTACATGGGTACATACGTACATCGGTACATACGTATACCTACATATATACGTACATACATACATACATAAGTTAATATCTACAACCCTATTGCCCTAAACCCCAAAACCCCTAAACCCCAAAACCCCTAAGCCCTATAAAGCCCTAAACCCTGTAAACCCCAAAACCCTAAGCCCTATAAATATCATACCCTACCCTAATTATAAACTATCCCTACAGGCTCGCACATAGACCAGGAGGACACGCAGGTCACCGGCAATGATGAGCAAGCTCCTGCTTCCGGGCTTTAGAAGGGCCGTGTGGGATTGCATGTTGATGTGTTTCTTGATTGCTTATTAAGGTTGTCCCACGAGCGGACCAACTGGCCCTGAATCAGACAAGAAAGGAGGCTGCCCAAGCAAAAGGCAAGGCTCGCAAAAAAAAAGAAAGGATGATGCTGGGGAGGAAGAGGAAGCGGCAAATGAGCCCCCCATGGAAGATGATTGCGGGGAGAAGGCGGAAGCGGCAAATCAGCCCCCCATGGAAGATGATGGCGAGGAGAAGCCGCGAGGAAGGGGTCGGGGTCGGGGACGAGGACGAGGCAGAGGCAGAGGTGGAAGAATGAAGAGGCCGGCAGCAGCCTCGCCGAAGGATGATCATGATGAGCCCGCAACCCCAAAGCGCAACCCAGGCCTTGACATCTCAGTGAGATTTACCCCTAAGCCTAGGAAAGGTGCCGCGAAGAAGAAAGCAAGCCCGAAGAAAGCAACCCCCAAGAAAGCAAACCCCAAGAAGACAGCAACCCCCAAAAAGAAGAAAAACAAGCCTCCGGGAACCCGGTCCGAGGAGTGCTGAGTGCGAGCAATGCTCTCTTTCTTGTTTGCTGGGTCGTTTCTGGTGTGCCGTGCTACCGTGCTACCTGCTAGGAGGAGTTGGAGATCAAGGCGTTCATTCACGAATACAACCGTGCTGAGAATGCTCGTCACAAGTTAATGGCATATTGGACTCGGCCCGCATTCGGATTGCTGGATTCGGGTGGATCCCAAGCAGCTAGGCACCACAATATCACGGCAGATTGTTAATTAGTCTTGTTAGATTACTTACCTACTTAAATTCCATCCAAGCTAGTTGGCTAAGGTGGCCTACATCGGTTCCGTGAGCGCTGATCTGCAATCCTTATGGCTTCCCATGAAGCAGCTCGTGCCTTTGTCACAAACCCGGGCCTCTAGGATCCCTTTGGCTTTGAGGACTTTGTTATTTGGGTTAGGGGGTAGCTAACTAAGGCCCTGGATTTGGTGCATGGCGTGGATGAAGAGCGTGCGATGAGCAAGTTCCTAGCTTCCAAGAAGCGTCTTACTGACGCCTAGTGCGGGGGAGCTGAAATCCGGGCCTCCTCACTCCTACGTTCCTCTATCGTTGACCTTGTGGGCACCAGAACCATGTACTTAAACATTTTATGTGGCTTTGGGAGTGAGGCAGCTTGCCACTGGATCTGTTCGACAGAAAACCTTGAGCGCCTTCTGAGCTTTGCTGTCCTGGAAAAAGTTGGTCCCCGCCAGATCGTCGCTGCCTGCAAAGCACGTGTCCCCACCCAAGCCAAGCCTTTCAAGTTTCTAGATTCTAGAACCACCATTAATTATTTATCAGTTTGGGCACTCGGGGTTCATAGTTTTTAAGGGAAAAATATGTAGTACGACTCGGGTGCTTCAAGCGCAGCTCCAATTATACTAGAGGACAAATGCGGTTCACCAATCACTACCATAAGTTGCTACGAAATAATTATAAAATCCTACCAAACCCAGAATTCACCCAACAATCTGATAGTGCATGCAAATCTTATGATGCCTCTTGACCACATAGTCTCCCTACGCAGGCCAGTCAGTCTTCAACGTGCCATTCGACAACGACATGGTGTTATCCGCAAGCAGAAGGTTAAAGAGATGCGAGGCCGGCGAGCCTTGTTTGGGGCACGCTTGATCAAACTTGGTACTGTGGCTGTCATGAGCATAACTGAGATGTTCTACAAGTGGGCACCTGTACTCCTTTCACCCGCAGTTTTTTTGGAAGCTGTGCGATCTATCTTCCCGGACTTGGCCTATTAGTCTAGGGCCTATATTAAAGCTTCCCAAATCCCCAAATTACTGTCGGGTCCTCGATCTACCAGTTTCTTGTCTTCTGGGGTAGTATGAAACCGTGGACTTCGGAATCCATGGCCTCGCTCGTCGCCCGGCTCCGGATGCTTGATGCCCCCAATGCCTCGAGACAGCAGAAATCTGGATTGTAGTTTGGGTTTGGAGGAGTAGATGTTTGGCTATGTCGGGGCTGTGCTCATAGGCTTGCGAATCACTGCTGCGAGGTCTTCATACTCTGCATACTGCTGCTCTTTTGGTCACAGAATGTTGGGCCTCACTTGGACCGCGACTCTCGGCTTGTCTGCTGTATGTCAAGCATGCTCTGCTGTCGTTCTGTAGTTTCGTTTTTACACAAATAAGGTCTTCCAATGGCTGGAGTTTTTCAGTGGCTCTGGTATGGCAACTCGATGCATGACATCCTCGGGGTTGCTGGGTTGCCCTCTGGATATCATACATTACAATGGGCCCTCGGATAAACAGAACTACTTGGATTTACTAACTCCGGCTGGCATGGCGCACCACGGCTGCAATCAAGGCTTGTCTTTGCATGATGACAGTGAGAAGACAAAGCCACGATAGATGCTTCCTACTTGCACCTATTTCCATGATCCGTCAGGCTCGCTACGATCGCGATGCTCCAGTGTGTGGAAGATGACTGTATCACGTGGTTCGGTGTGAAGTGTAGTAGCAGCAGCACTATGAACATGGGCACCAGCAGGCGATCTTTTTTATTGCCGGAGGGCGACGTGTCCAAACGAAGTGTCGTGGAATCCAATTGCTTGGTTGCTAGGCAGGACGGCTTCAGTGCTGTTTGTGACTTGTGGTGTACCCTAAATGCTCAAATATCCTTGCACATGTATCTATCTGAGCAGGAGTGTGCTGCTCATGGTCCTCTGTGTTTCCATGGGCGGGGTCTTCATCTTGGAACAGCCCGGAACGTCATGGATGCTACATCATCCCAGGATCCGTTGGCTGTGCCGGCAGATCGATGCCACTTCCCATGTATGATCGTGTAGATGGTGCAAGCCAAGGTATACCCCTATCTAGTAAGTGCTTTGCAGAGCTAAGGTATTCCGGACGAATTTCTGGATGGCACATTTCAATTCACCAACACCAAAGCTGTCGACAGTTATATCCAACTCTTCAGCTATCGGAGCCTTTGATAAGGGTCGCCTATACTCTTGGCAACGACTGCGTCGAAGCCTGCAGGGAAAGACTACCAAACGGTATCGTGATACCGCCGGGAGACGTAGATATTGCGGCACGAAGATTCTGAAAAGAACCGAGCCCGAGTCTTAATTGCTGAAACAGCACCATTGCTGAATTCTGAAGCCCCTGTATCCCCAAAACCTATATATTCCCTACAACCCAACCAGACTCCCTGGCTCAGGCACTATCCTCTACGGTTTGGTATGAAGATCGTGTCCCTGAAGCACAAGTTCAAGGCCCAGGCAAGTGACAAACCGGAGCCCCGCAGTGTGCTGGGCCTTCGAGAACAGCTGATCGACATGAATTGCACAGGGGGCTTAGGCGATCTTTGGGAAGAAGCTTCCATGGATGATGTTTTGGTTTATCTCCGGGGCAACAGAAATTTGATGCTTCCGGATTGGGCTCGTCCTTTGCTGCCAACCACAGTCTGATGTGTAGACAGAATGGTTGCTTTGTAGTCTTTAACTACAGAGTGCACAGCTTCAGTAATTCATACATGCAACTGGAAGAATCGTCCTTGCCAGTAAATGCATTACATGATCTTAGGGAATTGATGTATAAGGTGCCGGGATGATTCTTGCTAGAGACTGCTAGTGCTCTGCAAAGAGTGTGCAAGTGCATGGCATAGCTGCTGTGGCACGCACCGGCTGTGATTGCAATGACAAAGAGTGGTTGTGAGTCTAAGCCCATTTGAAGCCTTTCTCGGTCCTGGTCCCCGCCACAAAGCTAGGTTGTGGGAATCTGTTGGGTGTACTTCTCTGATATTCGATCCACCTTATGTGAGAGGGCCCCCAATCAGTTTCACCGAAGCCAGAATTAAAGCCTCGATCTTGTCTAGGACTGGCCGCGGGGATTTCTGTACAACCTAGAAACAAAGCGGGGACAGGCCGCGGGGATTCGTGTGTAAGCTAGAATGGAGGCCTCTGGACCAAGGGAACAACTTTCATTATCCTAGGGGTTTTGCCGCGGTTTTGGTGAAGCCGTGCCGCGGTTTTTAAGTCACTAAGAAACCCTATGTACCCAAAAAATAGTTTCTGAAATCTACACTAGAGAGGAACCCCGAATGTCAATAAAAATGTCGACATTTATTGGGATTTATCGGGATTCCCAAAAACCGAAACCCAATCAAAAACCAATCAAAACCCGAAAAATCCCAATAAAAACCCAAACAAACATGATATAGAATCCCGATAAAAACGCAATAAAAAAGCAAACGCGGACACTTTTTTCCCGCGGGGACTCCGCGGGACTTCTAAGGGACACCGGGGGCGCGGTTTTAGGACTTTTGGGGGTCTTTTGGTTTGCTCTGGTCCTAGTCGATGGTACACTTATCTCAGATTACATATATACAATGCATACTTGCCCCGAAGCCGCTAGCGAAACCCTACAGGTAGGTCTAGGACTCTACAGGATGGGAAAGACTCGGCCGCAGCACCTCCACTCCAGGCAGTGGAGTTGCAGCGAGCTGGGTTCAGGGATGGCACATCTTGTGACGTGCAAGTCTGAGTTGCCGGACGAGACCCTACAGGCCCAACTGGAGGACCACATATAGTCGCATATATCTACGTAATACAATTTAGGGTCCTACAACACTACCAAGACGTGTCAACCGGACCTATAAAATAATACGTTAACATAAGCTATGCTCTTGAGGTATTATTTTATAGGTCCGATTGTCACGTCCTGGTATGATAGCCCACTATTCCCCTAAAGCAATATTAAATTTTCCGACAATACTTTGATAGCCCACTATTCACCTAAACCAATACTACATTTAGAATAATACCCCGAAACAAATCCCCCTCAAGTTTTCCTACAGGACCTGGAGAATGCAATGGCTGCTCTTGAGTCACCAGCCGAGCCTGCGAGGGCCAAGGGTGCGAAGGCACCTGCCCGGGACGGGTCCGAGGACAGTGATGCTGTCTGTTTTGCGGCTTGTGGGACTGTCAATTGTTTCTAGCTCCGTGGCAGCATAGGAAGTTCTTTGCGAGGATATGCTTGGATTGGCGGGCCATGCCCAAACTGATGATCGGTTTGTGCGGCGAAGATTGGAGGGAAGCTTCGATTCTGCAGCAGATGACAAGAACAGCATCACGTCACCTTCTGCGGCCTCCAACAATGAAAGCCTTGCTGCCTCACTGGACCTCATCCCCTCATCCCATCCCAAGCCTACCACCCCGAAGAAGAAGAAGCGAAAGAACCCATCACCGAAGCCAGCTTCCGAGGCGAGGGTTTCCTTTCGGTTTATAGGTCTGCTTAACACTTTCTGGTATCTGGATGAGTTATTCATGTGTATGTATGAGTGTCTGCATGAACATCCGAAAGCATGTCCTTCCTGTCGGTATGTGTGCTTAGTGGATATATGAGTTCTTATTGTACACTGAGAACATGTGAGAGAGAGAGAGAGACCCACCAATAAAGGACACATGTGCACATCTACCTATTGTGTCTTTGCTGGGCTATCTAGCTACTCCACCTGGCTATCTATACACCTACGTTAACTGTGCACACATTTCGTGTTTCCGCACACGCTCTTCCATAGACGACAGGATGTGGGTGTGGTTATGCTCAACGACCATTTTCCGTTTGTCAGGAGGAGAAAGGCGCCGGCAAAAAGCTGCGAGCATGTAAGAAGCCTGCCAGCCCATCCCCGGAACCAGAGGATTCCGATGTGGAGCTCTGGCAGGAGAAACACAATTTGGAAGAGCAGCTTGCGAAGCTGCAAGCCAAGATGGCTGCCAAGGCCAAACTCAAGGATGAGATAGCAAAGCCCGCAAATTCGAGAGCTCACTCCGAGGCCCCCACCCCCAGCCCCGCTTCCGAGGTGGCGAGCAACCAGAGCCAACGAGCCCCGACACGAGCCCCAAGTCAGGCCCCAAGCCGAGCCCCATCCCGAGCGCGAAGCGAGAATCCCAGCCGATCCCGCAGCTTGGCCCCCAGCCAAGCCCCAAGCTCCATCAGGCGATCAGGTGAAGTGCCCAAACCGTCGTGTCGCAAAACCTTGCACCGCAGCAATGCCTTTGGGGAGGGTGCCCAAGCAGCTCGCCCAGTGGCTGCTCCTTTGCGAAAACGTGACCCTGCCCCCCGCCCACCGACTGATGTTGAGGAGGAGGAGGCTTCTGAGGAGGCCTCTGAGGAGGCAAGTGATCATGATGATGAGAAAGGAGGCCAGTCCGAGGCGACAAACAGTGGCAAATGGGGCCTGGTCCATGATCCCAAAACAAAAAAAGCCCTCTGGCACACTGTGTTGTAGCACTAATTATCTTTGTCGTGTTAATTTCTACAGATACTATATATAGCATATATCTAAGGTGCTTTCTGAGAGTGCCATCGCCCAGCGGGTCCGGCGAGCCTGTACGAATGGCAAGAAGAAGAAAGCTTTGGGAGGGCCAGAGGCTGTTACTTTGTATAAGGATTCCGATAACCGCGACGCACTGACAGAGATGCTCATCGCGGCCCACTTTCAAAAAGATGCTTGGAACCAATCAGTTTCCCAAACTGTGTACATGTCCATGCAGCCCATGCGCATTATATATTCGAGCAGCCAAGGGGAGTTTCCGGAGCCAGGTGACGAGGTTTGTCGAACGCGAGAAAGCCAAGACAAGTGAGATCCTGGCTGGATGGTATACGGAGCGAGCAATGAGTAGTGTCCTGAAGATGTGTCCGTTCAAGCCCTAGTGTTTCGATTGTGCCACATGAATAAATCCGGTCCATGCCAGAATCCAAACAAGTAAGGGCCGACATCAAGGATGTCGTGGACTACTGCAAGGACAAGCCAAACCTCAAGAGGCACCTTTTTTGCACATGTGAACCTGGGTTCTATACCTTGAACATACCTCTCCGAAAGTTTCTATGCCAGGAAGTACATGTACAACACGAAGAAGTTCCAGTATTGGGTGGAGAGTTCCTGGACAGGAAAGCTCACAAAATCGACGAGGGAGGTTACCAGGAACGAAACAAGTGGAACAGGTACTGAGGTTCCTCCAGAGGCTGCTGCGGCATTGCCAGATGTTGGTGATTTGGGCAGCTGGGACCAGGATGAGCAAAGCACAAAGCCGGAGGATGAGAAGGCCAAGCGCATGGAAGAAGAGGAGGATCACCAACTTCTATTCTTTTGGAGTATCCATGCACCATAGTTGTCTCAATTTGTTGAGTCGTCAAATTCGCATTAGGGTGTCACGAGCTCACATAATTTTTTTGGTCCTGGCACAAGGAGCTTGGCGAGACAATCGAGAAAGCGATGAGTGATTTGCTGGCCCGCATCGCAAAGTTGCACGACACCGCCAGCAAGTTGCGACCCCCGAACAACCCCGAGCCGACTGACACCCACGAAAGGCCTTCACTAGCCCACACATGCTTTTGTTCTAGTCTAGTTTTGTGTTTACCCACCTGAAAACAGGTATGCCAAGCAGCTTGAAAGATCGGCTGAAAATATGGAGAAATCATACGATGCATTGGCCGATCTTCTGGCCCAGCAGAAATCCATCAACAGTTCGCCAAAGTCATTGTCAACTTTGAAGCACCTTGTTCGCATCTTTTGCAATTAGCAGGATTTTGTGGATAGCTCCCGAGCAAGGTGTGCGGTGAAGGACGCGATCAAAAAGGCGAGTCTGCAGCCCCTCAGTTGCAATCTTAGAAAATTATGTTATGTTCCCGAGACTTGAAAACCCGAGGGTCTCGAAGGCCACCTCCGAAGAGGCCCTCGCTGTGTCATCAACTCAGCACAACAAGATCACCAGCACCGTGGCATATGGCATAATGAAGTGCATCCCTCCCAAAATACTCAGGCCCCAGATCCGCGACATCGAGAAGAGCAATAAGAACCGACAGAGCGGCCCGAAGATTCCGGCGCCCAAGAATGCAGCGAAAGCTGCTGCGAAGGGCAAAGCTAGGGCGAAGAAGTAAGTTTCACGTTTTGGGGTGACGGATTTCGAGATTGGTCCCCTGCATGCTGAGATCCCGTGCATGAGTGATTGCATGCACACATACACATATACATACATACCTTTGTACATACATACATGCATACATACGTACATACATACATACATACATACATACATACCTACATGCATACATACCTACATGCATACATACACTTGCATACACATCTTTGGGGAAATGTGCGCAATGCTGTGCACGGGTGGCATGCGTGCTACTTCTCACGTATTTCCTAGGGGAAGCTTGCCACACGAGCCCGAAAAGAATGCACTGTTACTGCTCGACTCTGCTGAATTCTGAATCCTGAATTGGCCGAAACTAAAGAAAGCCAGGTGATGATCGGCAGCGCCTTCAGGTGGCCAGAGCGCTTGCTCGTGGAGCTCCCCAACGGCGAAGATGTGGCGAAGGGGTGTGGCTTTAAGGTTTTGATAGGATGCTTAGAGTCGGGTTTTGGGTTTTGATAGGATGCTTAGAGTCGGGTTTTGGGTTTGGGCTTGAGAGTAGGGTCCCTAAAGAAAGATACCCCGAACCATTCGCAATAAATTCTGTAGGGTCTATTGTACTATTGTACCATGGCCATAGCCCAAAGAAAAAGGCTTTGCCTTATAAAGCAATCAATTGTGTAGATTCAATTAGGCTTAAAGGGTTTAGGGGAGTGCTTAGGGCCGGCTTAGGGGGTTATGGGATCTCAGGGGGTCTAGAGGGCTAAGGGGGTGTAGGAGGTTGAGAGGGCCAGGTGAACAACCCAGAAACTCAATAAAGGCTTCCTAAAGCTTTGCAGTCAACGCACACAGCCCTGTGAACCTCCCATAGCAATAACTGGTAAATCCTGAGGACCCCTAGAGAACGGATCAATATTATAAGTTATAGTTGATAGTCTACTAGTTCAATCATTGAAATGAAGGTATGCTTGCTACCGAAAGAAATCCAGACATTGCCCAAAAAGAAAACATCCGTTCCGAGGCTAGTGGTGCAAGCGTCTGGGAAGATGCTGTGTCCAGGCGAGAAGAGGACAACCCCACTTCGAAAACATCGATCTTTGGCCGTATAGCCCAAGGAAGCAAACACCGAGCCGAAAGCAATGCCTTCAAAGAGTTGCTAGTCAAGAGATTCCAGCATTCCATGTAAGAGTGGGTTCCGATTTTGATCTTTTGAGTAATCTTTCGGAGGGGAAAATGAATCGCGAGCATCATGAGGCTCAGAGCCGCTGGACGCACTTTGGATGTTGATATTGATACCATCGAGGCTGGTCCGAACAGAACTGTGATTCCATGGATCGATCCTTTCAAGATGGTTTGTACTCTCGCGGGGCATGACAGATTGGATCTGCTTCATCCTGATGACAGCAACCTTCTTGAATTCTGGAACCGATTTTCCAAGGTTTTTCCAGACCATTGGGTCTTCAAAGCTGCATCAGCTGGTCGGCTTAATCTGGCACGAACACTTCCTTTTTATTCGCATGGGGATGAAGGGAGAGGAAAACGAAAGAAGGGCATTTTGCTCTGGACCATGAGGGGTGCCACTGGACAAGGCACAGCTCATTTCAATTCCATGCACACCGAGGATGCCCGGGCTGAACGAATGGGGTTGAATATGGGCGGGAGCCTCACCTCAAGATTCTTGTATGTGGCTGTGCCAAAACATGTTTATGGGAAAGTAGCCGAGCCCGTCTGGGATGATATAGCCTTTCGAGTTGCTTCTTCTTACCGGAAACTAGAAACCGAAGGCTTTCTATGCAACGGTCGACAGTATCATGCTGTATGCCTGGCCCTCACCGGGGACAACCCCTTTCTTGCGAAGGTTGCACACTTGCTGCGAAGCTATGCACGAGTCGAAAAAAGACCCGGCGATGTTGCTGGACATGGAATTTGTTGGGTGTGCATGGCTGGGACACCGAGTATTCCATTCGAGAACTACAACATGCAGCCTGAATGGTCGCACACAGTCCTGGAAGTGACACCCTGGCATACGTTGCCACCATTCTTTGCAGGTCTTGGCTGCTCAGCTGACGATCAATCACTTCCGAAATGGTTGATGTTTGATGCCTGGCATAACTTTCATGGTGGTGTGGGCAAAAATATGGTTGCATCCACTGCTGCTGAAATTCTGCAATGCATGGATACAAGCAAGAATCTCGACATCAGATTGGACGAGATGAATGACGCCTACCAGAAATGGCGCACAACCTCGAAGCTCACCTTGCATTACGGGGGGATCGATCGTGACTTGTTCGGGTTGGAGTCAGGCCTTCAGGCCTGCCCTGTTGGAGCCTGGTCAAAGTTCTCTGATACCCGGGTGCTTATGGCTTTTCTGGAAGAGTTTTTGCGACAGCGACGATATGTCGTGACGGAAATCACCGAGTTGGCACTTCAGGGGGTGGCTGCTGCGAATCTGTGCTTTCGCATCTGCTACCAGTCTGGCTTTTGGCTGAATCAAGAGGAGGCTGCGAAAGCTGGCCGTGCAGGGCTTCGCTTTCTCGCCTGCTATGCCCGCTTAGCTGAGGTGACATTACGGGAGCACCGACTGAGGTATCCACAAATGCCGAAGTGTCACTACCTTCATCATGGGTTCCGGGAAATGGTACTGTTCTCTCGATCCTGTCGCTGGATTCCGAACTTACTCCATTCGTCTGTACAGCTGGACGAGGACATGGTAGGGCGCATAGCCCGTTTGAGCAGACGCGTGGGTTCGAGGCTTCTAATGCAGAGGACGCTCGAAAGATACTTGGTGACGGCGCATCTTGCCATTTTCGACGCAGAAAAGCGTTGGTTGCTTCCGATCCGGAACCAATTTCAGGGGCCCTGAGGCACTCACGATAAAGATTTCAGAGGCCCAAAGGCATTCAATATTCGGTGTTCCAAGGTTCGCAAGCATTCATCATGAGCATTGGGAAATGATTTTTTCTGGGTTCTCAAAGCGTCTGGATTTCTTGCGAGGCTGGATTTTTCCGTCCTTTTTAAAAGGCCGGAAAAAAGTAGCGCAGAGTATCTTCAGGTAAACCCTGAAACCTAAACTAAACCCTGAAACCTAAACCCTAAACCCTAAACTCCAAACCTCTGAACCCTGATCCCTCAACCCCAAACCCCAAACCCTGATCCCTAAACCCCAAACCCCAAACCCCCTAAACCCTGATCCCTCAACCCCAAAGTCGGAACCCTGATCCCTAAACCCCAAACCCCCTGAACCCTGAACCCTGATCCCTCTTTAAGGGACTCAACCCTAATTAATCCCTAAGCCATAAAGCCCTCAACCCTAAACCCCAAAGCCCTAAACCCCAAACCCTGAACCCTAAACCCTGAACCCACTTGCGGGACCCCCTAAAGGAAACCCTGTAAGCCCTAAACCCTGAACCCTTAAGGGTTCTGGAGAAGTTGCAAGGGATGAGTTGAACGATTTTCTTGCGGGTTTCATATGGTGTAGAAAGAGTACTACCGCGTCTTATCGGGCTTTTAAAGGGTGTCACTGGTGAATTGCCAATAAGCTCGACCCTGCAGGCTGTTTGATCTTTAGGGGGTGGGGATTGATATCGACGAAGGTGTGCCTTAAATTTTGGTTCCAGGAACCCTAAATCTCAGACACCGGCAAGCCCCAGAGCATGCCGATGCAGGCATCTTCCTGGGACTTTCAAGCACGGTGAGATGATCCAGGCCAAGAGAGAGGGTTCAGGGAGTAGCGTTCGGGCCCCTACAGGAGAGTGTTGGGTCCTGAATGATTGGCAATCGTTTGGCGCGGGTTACCGAATCAAAAGTCTGCATGGGCAGTATAGTTTAACTGAGGCCACCCGAAGAACCTGGTCGCAGCATTTACAAGCCCTTTTGTAATTACATATGTTATGGAAAAGGCAGTCTATCTATCTATCTATCTATCCACCGGACACCTGTGTATATATATATATAATATGGAGAGAGAGAGTTTAGGTTGAGAGTTTCGGCTGCGAGCGTTCAGTTGGCTTTTGAGGGAGGTCTGCAATCCTCCTACACACCCCTGGGCCGGAAGCCCCAAACCGCTAAAAGCCCCAAATTCGTGGAGAACTCTTGAAGAAAAATGCCTTCACACAACCGAAAATCCTAAACTCCAAAAGCCCCCATAGAACCCTTAAGACCCCAAGGAAAGTGTGGGAGGTGCGCTTTATTTGCTGTTCCTTAGGAATCATCTTTTCCATGTATGTTATAGCAACATACCCCCAGGGACTATT